GTTTCTGAGGCAGTAAATCTTTACGGAGATAGATTGCCCCATTTCTCATCCTCAGATCAGCTGTTGGAGTTGAACTGCAAGTCTTCTGGTTAGCAGTTAGAAGTTAGACGCTTCGCCACCAGAGCTGCTTTTGAAATAATGGCCAGTAAATTAGAAATTAAATGCTTAGAGAAGTATTGCTTGTAAGTTACATTTTGGCAGTAAGAATAATTGAAATTCTGGGGAGGTGGAGTTTGGAAACTCAGTAGCCAAAGATTAGAAACTATATTGATCCATGTATATCTCTCTGTCACTAAACTTGTTTGCAATCCCAGTTAATAATGTGTATGTGGAAGGAGCACAGTAAGTGTTTGTTAAATGCGTCTGGATCCACCTGGAAGGGGAATGAATGTTAACTCATTTGCGGTAGTATATCATTTTGCAGTTAGCATTTCTGCATTCAATGTGTGCATAATATTACGTATGTATTTATGTATGTCTCTGTGCAGGATCTCTAGACAGCTTGAAGATTTGTGTTGCTCGCTGCAGCAATGCTAGATTATTTGCAAAGGTGGGCTAGTCTTAGTTATCTCTAGAAGAGGGCGAAGAAATGCAACCACAAAACAAAATTGTTTCTCTTGACCAGGACTTCTTTTATGAAGACATGGAGTCTTTGACTCAGATGCTGAGGGCATTGGCTACAGATGGAAACAAGCACCGGGCCAAAGTGGACAAAAGAAAGCAGCGATCAGTGTTCAGAGATGTTCTCAGGGCAGTGGAGGTAGGCCTCAGAAACGCTGTGGTAATTACTCATTTCTAAATTCGATTGTGTCAGGCTAATCTTGACCAGTGGATCATTCTGTTGATTGAACTTCACCTTTAATCAAAATTGTTTTCTCACTGAGCAGAGTTTTTGTTTTTTACTGTACAGATGTTCATAACAAACCAGTAGCCTTTTTACATGTACAATTCCGTGATCCTGTGTTCATCACGTTGTGCAGCTTCACTTCTGTCCATTATCGGGTTTTTCCATCCCTTGTGACAGAAACCCACCGAGCAGGTTTTTGCAACATAAATGAAGACTTCCTGTTTTTAAACTTGGAAAAACGTAATGCTAATATATAGAAGTATTTTTT